CCGACGGCCGCCGCGTGGGTCCGCAAAGCGCCGTGGGGCTGGTGCCAAGTGTGAAGTGCAGGGCACGCCATGGCTAAGGGCTCCCCAGAAAGAAGGGTCGAATTTCCATGAACCAGTAGCAGGCTAACGTATTCGCCGTAAGTAGGGTGAAATTCCCGGCCCCGACATCTCAGAGGATAGGGAAAAAGAGTCACATCCTCCTCCAGCTGTTTAACTATAAGCATTGTTTCTATTCTGCTGCACCTTTAAAACGGGCATCCTGTTACAGGACTCAGATCCTACTACATGGAACCTTGAGATCCTTCCGTCACTTGACCTATCCTAACATTTCCTTAGACTCTGTTAGCACTCACGTTGAATAATGCGAGAAGGTAATCTATTGGCTTTTCTCATTGAAACTTCGGAGTGATCAGCAGTTGGCGAAACAAATAGCTTGCCGGCCCTTATATGCCATGTCTTGGCTCTGCTTCCAGATTGGGGACTTCATTTTCATGTGTGATGTACGGGTACTCTGGTCCTGACGAGCGGGCCTGTGATTATCGACGACCCTCAAATCCAGACTCACGGTGGCTCAAGTGGTACAGGGCAAAACCGATCCACAGCGTTGTCGGGGCTGTAATCTTCATGAGTTTTCCCTGGCTGATGAAACCGAAGTGTTCAACAGCTAGCTGTGGAACCATCTAGAGGTGCCTCAGCAGAGGCCCATGGCCTTAAAAACTGGGGTGATTCCACCCTGCACACTAGGGGTTTCTGTGTCAATAGGCAACTCCATAGCATGAACACCATCATGCTTTATGGTTCATCGGGCCTCTTTTGCAGAGCCAGTGGACTATGTTTCATTGCCCCAGCTAAGCAAACCCAAGACTTAGGGCATGTGTGTGTAATTGCTTCAACAAAATCTATTGAGTCTCAAAGGCACTTTGTAAGTCATGTGCCTACCTCTGAGCCCATTACTACCTGAAGTCTAGTCTTCAGACCTACTGGGCCTGGGACAAGAGCAAGAGGAGGTGCTAGCTCAGGCCCACCTCTACTGGGCACCCCCCAAACTCCCCATTCTCAACGGCACTTGCTTACCTGCTGGGAGTGGTCATTTGACCACAAATCTCAGTTATGTGATGTGATCATAGCAAAACTCAAACTCGTTACAGGTGCCAACTCATAGCAACCCTATAGGGGGGTAGGGGAGGAGAGAACTGCCCCTGTGGGTTTCCAAGACTGTAACTAACCCCTTCCGGGGGTAGAAAGCCCTGTCTTTCTCCCTCTGAGCAGGCTCGTGGTTTCAAACTGCTGATCTTGAAGATTGCAGCCCAGTGCCAACAGTGCTCTTGACGTGATAGGAGGTAGAAATAAGCAGTTGTATTCAAATAAACCCCGGAACACCAAGCAAAATATAAGTGATGTTCCAAATTAGATAATATGAAACTTAAAAACTATCGACCTAGTGGAATATGCTCCCTACCCAGGCGTCCTCTCCAGCTGTTTCTAAAACGGAAAGGCTTTGGGGCCGAATATGGACACGGAAAAAATACCCAAACTGCTTGGATGACATTTGTGACAACTTGGGCCCTTCCTTAGTTCTTGGATCTTGAAGCTTATTCTGTTGCCAGAAGTGGAAAGAAGAAATTAAGAGTATTTTTCCATTAAGGAGAGTCTATGCCTCTTGCCCAGTGCAATAGCCTGCAGTTCCGAAAGACTGACTGAACTTTTACATGTTTCTGAGGGAAATCCACAAATGAGATTTCTAGGAAGGCAAGAAGCATAGCACAGTGACCTAGTGAATACGCAAAAGACCTTTCCAAAGATCCGGTGATCCTCAACAGTAGGGGCAGATGACCCAGTAAGCAAGGTAAACACGAGCTAACTTGTGCTTATCTGAAGTAAACAGTTTCACATGGGTATCACCACAAAAATATGTGTAAACAGTCTCTACACATTAGTAGATAAGCACAAGGAAGCCTGTGCTTACTGAGTACTCTTTGAAAGACGTTTTAGTTTATAGGAAGGTTGTGGGGCTGGGATGCCAGCCATACCCAGCAGAATCCTTAATGTGGCGGGGGAGAAAACATGACATTGTTCAAGAGGAGATAAGCACAAAAAAGCCCAAGCTTACCCGGTTAGTGGATAATCAATCCAACAACTTTTTTCATCTGCCAACTGTTGTGAATGCTAACATATAATTTTTAAAAATCATTTTATTGGGGGCTCTTACAGCTCTTAAAACATTCTTTACATCAATTATTTCAAGCATATTTGTACATATCGGTCTTTTTTATTATTATTACTAGGTAAGAAACACAGTCGATTAGAAATCTTGAATTTTAACAGAGAAGGAAATGTCTGAATTCCTTTTTGGTCCCTATAGCATAAGGCACATATATTCTTGGATGGTAAACACCAGGGTGTGTAAATTATGTCTCTTCACTGAGACAGGGACTGCAGGCTCCACAGACAACCATGGCACCTCTGAAAGGGTATGTGGTAGACAAGAGGTGTTTAAAACGTGGGTTAGAGTGTAGCTCGGTTTCTTCTCCACCCTCCTTTAAAAGAACGGATGCATAAAACACTCCCATCTAAAGTTTACAGAAATAAGACATCATTTCAGAATTTTAAAGCCACAGCAGAGGAGCTTAGTACTTGGGACAAACTGCTTCTCAACTTTATAATTGAGGCAAGTGAGGCTCTCAGTCCCACGTAAATAACTTGCCCCGGATTTGTGGTCATATTTGCAAGGGCAGAATGCGGACCTCCGGCCTCTGTAGATTTTAAATCTGAGGGCTGAACTCTTGAAAGGACTACAGTAATTTCACGCATATCATGCTTGTAGTAGATGGTACCACCAACTGCACAACCCACTAACGCCACATATTATGCGCCTGTGCTCACTAGGCACATTATACGCGTGGGCATTAAGTGTGTGTGTGGGGGGAGAGGGGGAAGTAACTACATATAGTTACTTAGACAAAGTTACGTAGACAAAGACTACATATCTACTATAATATACTAATCTTTAAAAATAGATTTAAAAGGCAAATATTAATCTTTGATTTACAATGTCAAACCAGCAAAACTGTGATGATTGCAATCATTTTATTAACATAAAGCAATGGAATAAATCCCGTAACAGGAGTATTGATTCCCTACCATGAATGCATATTGGTACTTGAGTACAGTATCATGCTTGCTTGAGTCAAACTATTTGTGGAGTTTCACGTCGACCTATCTATAAAACATCGATATCTCACTGACCCACAGAACAGCCCAGAGCCAGGCACCTCTTCGTCCTGGTGAAATGCATGCAAATGCTTCCACGTTCACTTGGACTTCTCCCCGCTCAACGACTTCATAGTAAGGAGCACATTTTCAGTTCACTACTTCTGCCCTGTCATTATTTTTTACATTATATTTTTAAAAAATACTATGGTGCAAAAGGCCCTCGGACAAGGCCCCTTGTGGAGAAATGCTTGAGGACAGAATTGCAGTCCTATAATGACTGTGATCTGGTCATCCTACAAGGACATGGCGGGAGACGCACTCTCCTGGAGAGTCTCTGATCTCATTAAGAATATCATGATGACAGGGGTCAGGGGGCTACGACAGACATTTCAGCAGAAGACTCGCCTACAGAGATTTGTTGAAACAGTAATTCAATCGTGTACGGATTGTAAGGAAGATGGCACAGGTGAATCACTCTGCTGAAGAAATCCGTGTCTACAAAGACAGGTGATGTAACCAAATGCTGTTGTTAACTTTGTGGCATGTCTGTGAAAATGTAAAGAGGTCATGAAAGCCGAAAAATGCAGCACTATAACAAAGCATAAAGTAAACATTCTCGAAGAGTAAGCATTTAAACAAAATTTCAAATGGTGTCTAATAAATTTCCATGTCAACTCTTCTAACGTATAAAATCGTAAATGGCAACGAGTAAATCTTCATGGCAAGTCTCTTAACAAAACCCACAAATAAGATTATAAAAATTTAACAATCATAAGTGTCTTCGGTATAAAGTTTTAAGGGAAAGTCTAAGTTCCTACATTATTCTGTTTAATCAAATACAGGAAGAATTTTCATTACTGCTAAGGAGCAACTGATACATTTCTTCTTCTTCTTTTTTTTTTTTTTCTGACACATTTCTAAAATAACTCAGTTAGGAAAATAAAACCCCAATCCTGGTGTGGCGTAGCAGCGCTCGGTAATCTTCAGTCATCCACAAACGTTAGCCGCCCAGGCCCTTCGTTCTTCATCCACCTTCGGTATCGCTTCCATCTCGGGTCATTTGCCAACTTTTTCTTCAGTTCTTCCTCTTGTTCCTGCTTGTAGACCTGCAAGCACAGATAACACCACCGGCCTTTACAACCCAAAGAGAAACATCTGTCGTTAGTTTTAGCTCACAGATTGTTAAAAATCTAATTTTAGGTACAAAGTGTCCTAGTAGTGATTTGTCTTTAAAAGCCTGTTCACAGGAAAATGCTACCCAGCAAGCATTCCGGCACTCACGTGAAAGAAAAGCAACTTGTACAGTAAGTGGTCATGCGCTAGCGCCGATCTCCATATCCGTACTAGGACAGAGTCCCTTCCTCACTGAAAGCATATAAAACACTGCTTTCTCAACAACCAGGCCATTATGAAAGACCTGCACCTTTTTTTAAACACGATATTCTATGAATTTAACTGTATTTGTTCATCCTAGCCAAGAAACAAACTGGCCTTCCATATGTCTCTAAAGTGAATTTTTATCTACTTTCATCTTCAGAGATAATTGCTGTTTTTTAAAATATTTTTTTTATTAAAGTTCTTGAAGTTTAAATAAATCACACAACAAAGAACATTCTCACACCTCTACCTTTTAGCAGATGTCAATTAAATTTAAACAGAAAGGTTGTATGGCCAATTTTATAGCCACATGAAATTTTAAAAAGAAATTATTTCCAAGTACTAGGAAGCCAGGACCAGGGTCACCTCCTGTGAGCATTCTGACGCAGACGCGGTGGGTGGCTGGGGCTGTTCGACCGTCCGGGGCGGTCAGCGTGCTCCTCTCCTTTGTACCGTTTTTAAGCAGGCTGAAGAGACCGAGTTGTCAGCACAGTCCGCAGTTCACCATACATTAATTTGCTCAAATATAATTCTGACTGAAATGGTATTTTCAGAAAAATATAGGCCATCACATAGAAGGAGGAATGGCTCTGAAGCTAAAACTTACACAACTAATAACTATCAGATTTCTTACAATCTCTCTTTGCTCGAAAATGTATTATACTAACCGAGTACTTTTGCCTAGAGACTACTGGGCCTTTAAGCTGCAGATGGGGGCTGCTCATCTCTCAGGACCTGCCGTGCTGAGCACTGTAGCAGACACAATCTGAGAAAGCACCAACATCCTGAGGCACTAGTCAGTCAATTAAACTTACTGCAAAATGAAAATAACTCTCCAGAGATATAAGGATACTTCAGAAAGTTCATGGGAAAATTCCGTTCGTTTCATTCAATTTTCCATGAACCTTTTGAAGCCCCTCAGATGTTAATTAACAGAAGACTGTGTTCATTTATTCTGAAATGAACAATGCAACAAAAGCTCTCTAAATCTGCCTGTTCGGTAGGTTTTGAAATTGTCTACGTTGTCATGTTAGCTCCCAGAGGCAGCTGTGCTCCCTCGTGACCCTATGCCTGCGCCATGCTCACACCTGTGCCTGAGCCCGTTGTTGCAGCCACTGTGTCCACCCATCTCCTTGAGGGTCGTCCTCTCTTCCGCTGCCCTCTACGGTACCACACGTGATGTCCTTCTCCAGGGACTGGTCTCTCCTGACAATATGTCCAAAGTACGTAAGATGAAGTTCTGCCATCCTGGCCTCTAAGGAGCACAAAGACCGTGCTTCTTCCAAGACAGATGTGTTTGTCCTTTTAGCAGTCCACAGTACTTTCAATATTCTCCTCCAGCAACACAATTCAAATGCACCGAGTCTCTGATCTTCTTTATTCAATGTCCCACTTTCACATGCATGGTAGGCAATGGAAAATACGATGGCTTGGGTCTTGTGCACCGTGGTCCGCAAAGTAACACCCTTGTTTTCCAATACTCTGAAGAGGTCTTTCTGCAGCAACGTTACCTAATACAACACATCTTCTGATGTCTTGACTGCTGCTTCCAGGAGGGCTGTGGATTCAAGCAAGACAAAATCCTTTGACAATTCTAAGCTTTCTTCTGTTTATTATGATGTTATCTACTGGTCCAGTTGTGAGGATTGGGTCCTCTTGACATCGAGTCCTAATCCATACTGAACGGGCAGAATCCTTGATCTTCATCAGTAAGCGCTTCAAGTTCTCACTTTGAGCAAGCAAAAGTGTCATCTGCATATTGCAGGATGCTGATAAGCCTTCCATTCTTCTCCGTCCAATCCAACTTCTCTGATCATTTGCTCAGTGCACAGACTGAACAAGCACAGTGAGGGTACAACCCTCTTGAACCCCCCTTTCCTGATTTTAACCAGGCAGCATGCCTTTGTTCTGTTTGCACAACTGACTCTTGATCCCTAACAAGTTCGTCATGGGTACAATGAAGTGTTCAGGAATTCCCATTCTTCTCAAGGTTATCATCCATAATTCATTATGGCCCACACAGTCAAATGCTTTTGCGTGGTCCATAAAACACAACCAAACATCTTTCTGGTATCCTCTGCTTTCAGTCAAGATCCATCTGACATTAGCAACGAGATCCCTTGTTTGACGCCGTCTTCTGAATCCAGCCTAAACCTCTAGAAGTTCCCTGCCGACGTACTGCTGCAACCGCTGGTGGGGGATCTTTTGCAGGCGCTGTCACTGATACTGTTCTAGCATTTGAGCTTTCACCGTTCTTCGGAATGGACACAAACATGGATCTCTTCCAGTCAGCTGGCCAAGTAGCTGTCTTCCAAATGTCCTGCTTCCGGTGCTGCATCAGCTTGCTGAAACAGTTCAATTGGTATTCCATCAATTCCGGGAACCTTGTTTTTGGCTAATACCTTGAATGCAGCTGGAAAGTCTTCCCTCGGCACCACTGCTGCTTGCTCATATCTCATATGCTACCTCCTGAGGTGGTGGCATGTGACTCGCCAATCTTTTTGGTACCGCGAGGCTGTGTTCTTCCCTCTTCCTTTGATGCTTCTTGCATCATTCCATATCCTGTCCCATAGAGTCTTTCAATATTGCAACTCGAAGCTTAGATTTATTATTATTATTATTATTATTATTATTATTATTATTGGAGTTCTTTCAGTTTCAGATATGCTGAGCACATGTTCTCCTTTGGTTTTCTGATTTCTATCACAAGGTAATATAACTGGAAGAAAACTTAGGGAGGACCAAGTTTTAGTACAATCAACAGAGTTGTGGTAACACCTAGATAGAATTAGAATCTTAATTTTCTTCAGAAGTAGTCAAGTCAGGTACTGTAAAATTCATTCTTTAAAAAGACAATTGAACAGGTTAGTCCACCACCCTACCAACAAATACAGGCAGCCTCTCAATGAAAGGCCATTCTTTCTGATGAGACTCTGCAACACCTCATACCGCGGAGCGATTCATTCGGAGGATGAAGTGCTGAGTGAAGGTCTTCACGCCCCAAAGGGCAAATGCTGGATGAGGCCCCGTCACATATTTTAAAAACTCAGGTAAAGGTCATGGTACAGAAAGAAACGGCCTTGGATGGTCACATGAAGTGGGAGGGATGGGGAAGTGGTGGTGCAGAAGGCTGAGAGGCGCCAACCCAGTGCAGAGGAACAGTGTCTGACGAAGGGGAGCGAGGGGAGTCGGGAAAGCTCTTGGGAAGGTTATTTAAAGTTCCAGAACACAAAACAGTGATCTGACACGCACACCGCCACCTACTCCACAACAAAGTTGTTGTTTTAAAAAAAGAAGGTCACTATCTCTCTCTTGGAGGTGAGCCGTGTAAGCAGCGCCGGTGGCCCTGTAAGAGCCCTCATTCCCCACGGGGAGGGGAGGCGTCTGCGTGCCAGTCCCGCCGGCCGAGGGGCACTCACCTCATAGTTCTCCTTTCTCCAGAGCTCCCGAGTCAGGAACGCCTCCTTCTGACGGTCCTCCAGGCTGTCAAACTGCGACTCAGACATCTTCATGAACTTGCGTATCACGTACAGCCTCTCCTCCTCGCCGTACTCCTTGCCTTGGATGTGAAAATGATATATCCATCGGCAGTACCAGACCACATATGAGCCGACACGTAAAGGAGCCAAGATAATTTGAAACAGGAGAAGATCGCGTATTTGCGGTTTCTGATAGCCTCCCTTTATGTCTATTTTACTCTTTATAATATTCTTGATGATGTTCTCCTCCTCCTGACGCATTTCTTCTTTGGACTTTTTATTTCTGCCTTTTTCTCTGGCTTTTTTTAGCAGTCCCTGTTGCTTGGCGATTTCTGTAGCTGGGATACGGTACTTGGGCACGGTGGCTAGGTAGTCGATGGCCTTATTGTAGCTGTTCCACCAGCTGAAGAACTACAACGACAAAGAGAGTGCGTCATTTACAGGATCGCCCTCACTAAAGCAATAGCCGAGTCCTGCGAGCACCGGCATCGAAGAAGCCATGCGGATGAACTCGGGAGAAGCGCTCACAGATGGTCCATGAGAAAGACACAACGCAGTGGAAAGAACTCCAAGTGTCCAATGTCCATCAACAGAAATCTATTCAAATGTGGTCAGTAATTCCAAATAAAATGTGGTGCACTATGCATGATATGGAATAAAGTTCTGATACATACTGTGACATGGATGAACCTTGAAAAATTTTCCATGAACCTTTTGAAGCCCCTCAGATGTTAATTAACAGAAGACTGTGTTCATTTATTCTGAAATGAACAATGCAACAAAAGCTCTCTAAATCTGCCTGTTTGGTAGGTTTTGAAATTGTCTACGTTGTCATGTTAGCTCCCAGAGGCAGCTGTGCTCCCTCGTGACCCTATGCCTGCGCCATGCTCACACCTGTGCCTGAGCCCGTTGTTGCAGCCACTGTGTCCACCCATCTCCTTGAGGGTCGTCCTCTCTTCCGCTGCCCTCTACGGTACCACACGTGATGTCCTTCTCCAGGGACTGGTCTCTCCTGACAATATGTCCAAAGTACGTAAGATGAAGTTCTGCCATCCTGGCCTCTAAGGAGCACAAAGACCGTGCTTCTTCCAAGACAGATGTGTTTGTCCTTTTAGCAGTCCACAGTACTTTCAATATTCTCCTCCAGCAACACAATTCAAATGCACCGAGTCTCTGATCTTCTTTATTCAATGTCCCACTTTCACATGCATGGTAGGCAATGGAAAATACGATGGCTTGGGTCTTGTGCACCGTGGTCCGCAAAGTAACACCCTTGTTTTCCAATACTCTGAAGAGGTCTTTCTGCAGCAACGTTACCTAATACAACACATCTTCTGATGTCTTGACTGCTGCTTCCAGGAGGGCTGTGGATTCAAGCAAGACAAAATCCTTTGACAATTCTAAGCTTTCTTCTGTTTATTATGATGTTATCTACTGGTCCAGTTGTGAGGATTGGGTCCTCTTGACATCGAGTCCTAATCCATACTGAACGGGCAGAATCCTTGATCTTCATCAGTAAGCGCTTCAAGTTCTCACTTTGAGCAAGCAAAAGTGTCATCTGCATATTGCAGGATGCTGATAAGC